ATATATATATATATATATATATATATATATATATATATATATATATATATATATATATATATTATATATATATACATACATACATAAAATATATACATATATATACATACATACATACATATATATATATATATATAATATATATACATATATATATACATTATACATATATATATATATATATATATAATATATGTACATATATTATATATATGTATGTATGCATGTATACATATGTATATATTTTATATATGTATGTTATATAAGTATGTTATATTATATGTATATTAAACATATATATAATCAGTGACGGATCCAGGGGAGGGGATGGGGGTATGCATCCCCCCCCCCCCCACCAGAACATAAATACCCTGAAATAATCGAAATATTGAAACTATTGAAATAATCTGCGCTCTTGATCTTAAATTCTAACCACTTTTGGTATCCACATCCCCCCCCCCCCCACCAAAAAATCCTGGATCCGTCACTGTATATAATATATATGTATAAAAATCATCAATAAGATACAACGTTTGCTCACACTGTTTGCCATTTTATTTTATTCTGGAATACTTTTTCCCGCTTCTTTAATGCAATTGCGTAAGATGATTTCTTTTTCAAGTCACTGGGATATTTGGAAAAATTATTTTATTTAGTAATATTTTTCCCACTTGTTTTATGCAATGTGTTTAGCCTTTTTTTCTTCTTGAAATAAAACTAAAGTATATTGTAAAATTTATATTGGATAACAAGCCTCAAAAATTGTCATTAAAATACCGCTAAAATTTATATTGGCCAATATAAATTTTAGCGGTTTTGTAATGCAAATTTGAGTTGTTTATATCGTATAAACAAATCAAATTTGTATTACCATCTGAACATAATTAAACCACCTGAACATAATTAAAAAAAAAATTATTTTAGTTGTTGATACCGTATCAACTACTCAAATTTGAGTATATTATTTTATTTCAAATTTGATTATATTATGTATACCGCATTATGCATATATGTTGAAAGAGTATATTTTAAATAAAAAATAGATGCGGTTATCATATAGGTCATTCATTATCTTGCTGCGTCACAAATTATACTTTAAAATACTACTACTTTATTCTATATGAAAATCGCAAGGTTATGACGTCAGACGCTTTTCAATTTTTTTTTTTTTTTTTTGATATGTTTAACCCTTTGAGCACGGGGAGCCACGATCGTGGCTATACCGTCAGAGCACGTAGAGCCACGATCGTAGCTTTAAAAGTGTTCATCAGAACTATGACTTTTTCTACAAAAATACCGCTGTTCATAATTTAAAAATGGTACCATTGAATAGAGCACATTTTTTTCTATCTTTTGGTATATTGTTTGTGTATATTTTGTATTAAAGATGAGTGACAGCGAAGAAAGTTTTACTGAAGAAGAAAGTTGTACAAGCGAAGAATATTTAAGTAGCAGTGATGATAGTTTATTTGATGAAGGCACAATATTTTTTATTGAAAAATTGTATACAAATTTATTTAATTTAAATATATCACCAAATCTAAGCATTTGTAGTTTTTATTTTTATGTAGACTCCGGTTCTGATGATGATGCTGGTGTTGATGATGTTTTAGATTTGTGGCTTCCTGTTGTAGGAGATGACAATGGCCCTAATGTTTTTGCTTTTACTGGTGTACCAGGACCTAAACATACTATTTCACCAGAATCAAAGCCCATTGATTATGTTGAATTATTTTTCACTATAGAGTTTTTGGAAAAGTTAGTAACTTATACCAACCAGTATGCTGATGCATGGATACAAAGAAACCAACAGCATTTGAGAAAAACAAATCTTTTAGAAATAAAGGTATTCCTTGCTGTTGTTATCAATATGGGTCTAATCAAGAAAGCTAGTATTAAACTATATTGGGATATAAGTCATCCTTGTGCTTCCACTCCCTGGTTTGTTACTCATTTCAATCATGATATCTCTATCCCTAATCAACAGCAACTAAATAAGATTTATAAAGTTCAGTATTTAGTTGAACATTTTAACAAAAAATTTTTCTATTTTTATATTCCTCAAAAAGATATTTCTATAGATGAGAGCATGATTGGTTACAAGGGAAAAACACCACATCTCCGCCAATATATGCCAAACAAGCGTCATTCTCGATTTGGAATAAAATTATGGTGTGTTTCAGACAGCACTAATGGGTATTTATCTCAATTTGAAATTTACAAGGGAGGAAAAAATCCAGATGAAGCTGTTGTTGCCCATGGTATGACTTACAACTTGGTTTTTCATCTTTTGCGTCAAGCCAACCTCCTTCATCAAGGTTATCACTTAGGTATTGATAACTATTATACTTCTCCACAACTGCTATTGGATCTATATCTACATCAAACCACAGCAACAGGAACAGTGAGAGTAAACAGAAAAGGTCTGCCAGAAATCTGCCTTAAAACAAAATTGAAAAACAAAGAAGTTTGCCAATATAGATAAGGTCCTTTGTTATGTGTGGCATATCAAGATGGTAAAAAAAAACCTTTATTACTGTCTACTGTTGCCAAAGCAGGTTTTACTAAATTGCGCAACAGAAGAGGTAATTTAGTTATGAAGCCAAACGTTGTTGCCCTTTATAATCAAACCATGGGAGGGGTAGATTTTGGAGATGCACAGCTCTACGTGTACCTGTCAGAGCGTAAGACAGTAAAGTGGACTACAAAAGTTGCCTTTTCTTTATTTGGCAGGGCTATTCTTAACAGCTACTTATTGTATAAGCTTAACACTATTGTTGTGTTGGACTGTACCCTGGATGCTTTTCAAATTACCACACAACAGCTATAAATTAAATACATCGCATTTCTTAAATTCTTCTAAAAACTAGAAAAAAAAAACTAAAATTTAAAATAGTTGTTTTTCGTTTTTTTTTTTTTTTTTAGTTCAGTTTCTCCGTACGGTGTTTAAGTTTTATTGCGCGCTCAAAGGGTTAAGACAAACAAATTTGCATTAAAAAAACCATTTAAAGTGGTTTTGTAATGCAAATTTGAGTAGTTGATACACATAAGTTGACACACTTAAAAGTGTGTGTTGATTTGAAAATGATTTAGTTGACCATATTATGGTCCATAATTATGGACCATAATATGATTAACTAAATCACTTGAGTGATTTAGTTAACCATATTATGGTCCATAATTATGGACCATAATATGGTTAACTAAATCAAAATTACAATAGTAATTTTATTTTAAAATGATATTAAAAAAGTTAACTGGAGAATAGAGTAACAACCAAGAACGTAAAGATGTACAAAAAGCTGTCTATAAATCGAGTCAATAAATAAGAAGCAATAGCTGAATAACAACATTTATTTTTTACAATTAGTATTTATCTTTATTCAAATATATTCGACTAAAGGTCGTCTTCAAAAGACGTTCAGAATACACATTTTTTTCGCATGCCTTTGTGGTCTCAAATAAAAACTTCAAAAAAAAGTATTTAAAACATTTTTTAATGATGACTTTAGTCTTTTAAAGACGTTTTAAACACGTATTATATTTGTTTGCGAAAGATATCTTTCATATATAGAAATAATACGTATTTAATACGTCTCTTAAAGATAAGTTTTATATTCAGCTAAAACTCATCTTGAAAATTCGTTTTTTATGCGTATTTTTATTGTCTACTCTAGAAAAGATGTGAATAATATTAAAATAATACGTATTGAATACGTCTTGTCCTTGCTGGGATGTAGGGTATGTCTGGAAGGACTTGTTTTTAATTAAAACTGAAAGTAAATAATTCAGAAAATTTGATTAAGCACAAAAATTGAGTTTCGGAATTTAACATTTCCTTTTTTAGAAAGTTTTACAAACCGCATAATTTAAAAACTTTTCTTTACTGTCATTTCTTTTCTTGTGGTTTTTTAAAACCAATTCAATAGTGGTTTTACAAATGATGTTTTATTTATCGTTTTTGTTAAACATAAATATTAGATACCTATTTGTTCATTCGTAAAATTTTTGATATTTGTTTACAGCTAAACGTAGTATATGTTTCTTGAAGTAGCATCTATTAAATGACGAAATTGTTTTACAAGTAAGTTGAAAATTTAAAAAAATATATTTTTTGACTATTTTTTGTTTTATTTTGCGTGTATGTTGTTCATAACTTGCTTATAAAATTTTGTTCAAATGAAAAATGAGACTTTTTAAATTTAGAAATAATTAAAAGATTATAAGTCATAAATTTTTTTTGATTTAACGCATAAAAAGATTTGTTTCCATCAGTTAGCTTTTTTTTTTTTTTTTGGTAACAACATGAGTTTTGTTTCTCTGAAAAGAATATACAATCATCTTTTTTTATTGAACATTTTAGTCAATAAAATGTTGAAAAAAACAAAATTAAAGAGTAAAAACAACACTAATTTAATAAACTATAAAATGACATCCTAGTTTGTAGTTAGAAAATAATAATTGACGCATTAACAAGGAAGGGTGTTAAATTGTTCAGATAGGGTTCAAATGGTGTGTTTAACTGTTCTGCGTTTTATGTAAGAGAGAGATGGGTGCTGGAAAGACATTTAAAAAAATTATCTCAGTTAAAAATATATAATTACAAGCGTATTTAAGTAGTAAATCATAACAACTGTTAAACTCTATTTATAATTGCAAGTTTTACTAGAAAATCATGAGAACTAATACATTATATTTGTGATTGCAAGTCTAACATTATATTATAAACATTATATTTGTGATTGCAAGTCTAACAAGTAAATCGTAAGAACTGATAAAACTCATTTGTAAATACTAAAAATATTATTACATATGACATTATCAAAAAACTTCGCGCTTTAACATTGACAGTTGTGTGCATATACTTCATTAAATGACCCAACTGACAACAGGTTTAAAAGAAAGTTTGCAATTATTTGCGTCATAAAATTGCAATTATTTGCGTCATAAAATTACGATTATTTGTGTCATAAAACTGCACAAATAATTGTCTTTTTGCCAAATAATCAAACTAAAAGTACTGATAAGAATTTTGAATAACTACGCCTTTTAAAGTAACATAGTCTTCTTCTTTTTTATAAGGTATTTCTGAACTTAATGATAAATAATCTTAATGTTAATCTTAATCTTAATGCCGAACTAAATGATCGTTTAAATTCCCTTTGAACTTAAAATACCAAATTTAAAGAACTCTGTTACAAAATACAAACTTTAAAGATGATGTTATTAGCTTTGGCAATGTGAAAGTACTAAAAATTTCTTTATGAATGAATAACTAACTTCATGTTTAGCTGCATTTGTTTTTGGTTATACATTTTTAAGAATGGGCTTCCAAGACTTTTAATTTTGATATATATTGCCTCCAAGACTCTTAATATATATATATATATATATATATATATATATATATATATATATATATATATATATATATATATATATATATATATATATATATATATATATATATATATATATATATGTATATACAATATATATGTATGTATGTATGTATGTATGTATGTATGTATGTATGTATGTATGTATGTATGTATGTATGTATGTATGTATGTATGTATGTATGTATGTAAGTATGTATGTATGTATGGATGTATGTATGTATGTAAGTATGTATGTATGGATGTATGTATGTATGTATGGATGTATGTATGTATGTATGGATGTATGTATGTATGTATGGATGTATATATATTTATATATATGTGTATATGATTTCTTTTTGTTTAGTGTTTTGTATTATTGCTCGACACTCATACAGGTTAATTTATTCATAACTAGATTACCGTGCATATTTTATGGAAGTTTTAACTTGACACCAAATAAATATTATTATGGCCTTATTAATTCGACACTAGATGCAAGCAGTAGTAATGATTGTGGCACTTATTGCGTCAGAAATCCATCTTGTATATTTGCTAATTACAATAATAAGCAGAAAATTTGCCAGCTTATATCAACAAACGTTAGCTTGTTAAACATCAGAGATGATTTGCAATGGGAAGTTTTAGCAACTGATTCTTCGAGTAATAAAAATGTAAGTTTCGGTGGATGCTTTTACTATTAAAGTTTAAATTTGTTAGGAATTCAAAAGCTCGAAAGAAAAGCTGTCTTTATAAAATGTTTTTATTTATGTATATATATATATATATATATTATATATATATATATATATATATATATATATATATATATATATATATATATATTATATATATGTGTGTATTGCATTTTTATAATCATACAAATGCATAAAAAGTTTAAAAATATACTTAACCAAATGGAACCACATTGCCGCGTTGTTTGTTGTTTCGCTTAATTGTGCTAAAAGTAACTAAAATTAGATAAAACTTTACTCACAATATAACTTTTTGTAAATTGTTCTCTAAGAATCAAACTCTAATTTTTTTCTTGATGACTTTGTATTTATTTTAAACTTTTTTAGTATATGTACTCGTAATAACTTAAAATGTTTTTGAAGACATATATATAGGGATTGTTTTATTAGAAACGAGAATGCAAAAAATTCTGATTAAAACAGTTTAAAGGTATAAAGATCTGCCAATTTTAGTCAGCCTTATATAATATATAAAACATAAAATAGAGTTAAATACTAAATTTTAATTTAATATGTAATATTTATTTAGTACTTGACTGAATTTTATGTCTTATATAATAAATAAATTATTAAGTACTATAATAAATGCCATTAAAACAATTAATTAGCCGTAAGATTTAAACATATTAGCTAGGCTTATGTTTTTATTAGTTAGAACTCTTTGTTATAAAAGAATTTTTTTTTAAATAAAATTAATAGTTATTAAAATTTGTTATTCTTTTTTAAAATGATATATGATCATTTTTTTTTCATTACTTAAACAGTTTTAGCACAACAGTTATAAAAGTTAGAAACACTTATTATTATGTGTAAAATTAACCAACCTACTAAAAATTTAATATTTACTTTGGCGTAACGAACCCAGTTTAAGTTTTAAATGGCGTATTGATTGATGATTAATTGGTGTATTGCTTGATGATTAAGGACTTATGAGTGTATGTACCCACAATTGGGTAATTTATGTAATTTATGAGTGTATGTACCCACAATTGCCATACAATACTCTTAAGCAATGCTGTACACTGGAAATGTTTTTACAAGGATCTGATGACAAATGTTGTTTGACAACGAATATCACATTTGTTTTGTGTATAAAGTTGAAACACAAATAGTAAATTATTTAAAAAAGCATCATCCTAACATTTAAAAGATTTCTTTTTTATAAGACGTTTGCAATGCATAGTATAAAACTCAATCGTTGATATGCTTTGTCTACATAAAAACACCTATGAAGTTTACGCAGAATGGATATATTTTTGCTACAATGTAGTTTTCCATGTATTGGTATTGGTGACAGTGCAAAATTATTAGCTGCATATAGAAGTCTTTAAAGGGCATTAAGTGTAATAAATTGTTTAATTTCTGCATAAACAATATTAAAGGTTTTTTTTTTAAGACTAAAAAGAAAGAAATAGCCATGTTTGTATCAAGAGGAATAAAACATTTATTCAGTTAAGTAAAACAATTTTAGGGAAGATCATATTATTTTTATCATATTAATCATATATTATAATATCATTTAATCATATTATATTATTTTTATGTGAAGGGAGAATATTCCATATTTTCATGCTTTTATTTTGCGTGGGTTCATGGCCGTAATGAACAGTTTGATATTTAGGTACAGACATCTTAAAGTTAAAAGCCGGTAGTGGAATTTTGTTACAGTTTTCAATTTAAGAATGTAAGAGAAAGGTTATTATGATTTTGATTATAAATAAAGATGCAATTTTATTGTTGAATAAGGTAAAACTAATTAAAGACTTTAGATAAAATTTAGACTATACTAAAGTGCTATCTTTATATCTTTTTTTTTTTTTGGAATAAGTTTCAAAAAAGTGTATTGAGTTGTATTACAAATAAAAAAAGGAAAACAAAAAAAAAAGGATTACGAGCATAGTATATGCAGTCTACTACCATAGCGTTGTAGTTTGTCTAAATGGATTGTGGATGCTAAACAGCATCAAATGCTTTTTTTATGTTGATAAACCCTCCACACGCAAAGTATTTACTGTGAAGGGCTTGTATATTATTTTTCACATTATTTTTTTACTTTTAATGATTGAGTTTTAAGTATTTTTTGCGGATCCCATCATAAATTTTTGAGGCGTTATAAGACATACTCGCTACAATTCTATCTGAGAAAAATGCATTTGAAGCTATATTGAGTCATTAAAAAAAATTAATTTTAAATTTATAAACAAAATCAACAAACACTCTATTACAGAGTTTCTATATTGTAAACCAATAACATTGTAAATAAAAATTATAAGATAATAAAAATTCTTCAAATACATCCTACAGTTATAATCCAGTTGGTTGAAACATTACGACACATGCTGTTGCGCTACACTTGCAAATTACGTCAATTTTGAATTTTTCATCTTTTCGAAAGTTCAACAATACAAGAAATAAATCAATCCTACCAAAAACTAAATAATAGTCTAATGTTATATAATCATTAAACGAGTTCAATAAAGTCACATATGTTAAAATTTAAAATTTAATGATCACACCTAGATTTTAAAATAATGTAGTTAAAATCATTAAGCTTCTAATCATAAAGCCAGTAATTGTTTTTAATCATCACCTCACTGTCATCACTTTCACTCTAAATGACATCTTCTGAATTGTCTTTCAATTTCAATTACTTATAAAATCTTTGAGGCAGTAGAGGATAAACTGTATTAGTGATTTTAAATCCAGTAGCAATACAAAACCTGAGTAATCTTAACATTCTAACTATCACAACACCTGGTATAGCATATCAGTTTTGAAGTGTTTAAAATAAAATATTGTAATATTCCAGAACCAATTTTGGTGGATAAATATGCTGCAATACTGCTTTTATCATTGTAGTTATCCTTAATAACTTTAGTTATGCTCATAATATTTTCACATTTGTCTTGTCGTGGTACCTTTTTCTTACAATTCCCATACTGCAGCTAATCTTGTTAAATTTATAAATGAATAACTTGAGCGTTGGAGACTTGAAAAACTCAATATAATAGTGAAAGATAATTCCAGAATTATTGTCTCCGCTATGGAAGTAGAGAAGTTTCCAAATATTCTTTGTCTCGCCCATACACTTCAGTTGGTTGTAAAAGACGGCTGCTTCGATAATAAACGCATTTCTTTACTAACTGCTACATGTAGAAAAATAATAGTATGCCTTAACATTTTAAAAAAATCTCAGAATGTTTCGGAATTTTCTGCAAGTTTATTAAAAGCGGCCGATTCAAAAGTTATTCAAATAATACACGCAGTTAACACGTCAGTTGAACACATTAAGGACTATGAAAGTTTTAAAGAATCTTTGTGTGAATTTTGAATTGTGTTTGCGGAGACTGCGAAAAAAAACCTATATATGCTTTTGCGACAACAATAGATACAAAACTTTAAAACAAGGTTTTTAGGAGCAGGACGATGGCTGATGGCTGTTAGTTTATTAATCAGTGAGTTGACTGTATTGGTCATAGACAAAGGTTTTAAAATTAAAGTTGTTAAACATCAAAAACAGACCACACATCCTTCACGTTCTGCCTGGTCATTACATTACCAATTAATCAACACAAATTCTGGGGTAAGTATTATATGCGCTTATATTGTACTTTGAATATTGCAATATATTTGACTTTCTTATTGTACTTTGTACAATATATTTGACTTTATTATTGTACTTTGAATATTGCAATATATTTGACTTTCTCTGCGCAGCTTGTTCGTCAAGGTTTTTGATTTATAGAATTGAGAGAGGATTGTAACCCCAACTAAGAATACAAAATCATGAAAAAATAAAAAAGTAATAATAAAAAAATAAGTTGAAGTGAAATTGACTTGACTGAAGTGATCCCATCGGCCTTGGGGTGGTGAATAATTGGAAAAAAACTAAAACATTATAATAGATAAACTTTAAACAAAATATAAGTAGATACATATTGCACAATGTCAGACGAAAAAGCAGTGTACTTGAATAAACCTCTACTCGCAAGTCACGAAGACGTGTTTAATTACTGAAAAAAATCCAAATTTCTTAATGTGAAAAAACTGACACTGGAATATTTAGGGACACCTCATTGTAGTACTTTTTCGTAACTATCAGTTCTAATGATAATGACCTGTGTAAATGCTGAGTAAACAACATTTTGTGTATCTGATCACTTACCATTACTTATGACTATATTATTTGTTTCTTATTAATAAAAAGTTCAATACAAACATTCTGTATATTATTTGTTATTTATTATTATGATATTGGTTAAGTTGCTATTACTTCACATGGTTGACGACAGGGTTCTCGAAGTCGAGGGATGGAGGAGGAGGGGGAAAAGAGACACACTCCCTTATTTTAAAAAAAATTCTCAACATCTAAATTCTTTTAATTTCTTCAAAAAAAAGTTTTTTGATAATAAAGTGTGGGAGCGTGCTCCAAAGATTCCCGATGTCCTCAGTCCTGTTTTACCTGTATTAATATAACTAATTTCAATGTTTATACTTTTAAAGTCTGTGTAAGTATTAATTTAACTATGCGTTAAATTATTTTAACGCATATTTAAGTTATGATGATTTAATTTAACTGAGAGTACATTTAATTTTTAATGCACTCTTAGTTAACTTAAAATATTAAAAGTTACAAAAGAAATGAAAGCATGTAAAAAAAATAGTGTGGACATTCAAATATTGTTACAAACTTCAGAAAATTTTACAAATACACGTAAACAACATTGTAAAAACGTAGCTTATAAAACGTTTAGCAGTAAGAAAAACGTCAAAACACGCGTTTATTTAAAAACCCTCCACAAAAAAAAATCAATTGATTGATTTTAAACTTAACGCGCATATTTACGCCCCATTAGTAAGGTTTTTCATAATGCTAAACTTTTTATAAAGTACTTTGTTTATTATTAAGTATATATATATATATATATATTTATATATATATATATATATATATATATATATAATATATATATATATATATATATATATATATATATATATATATATATATATATATATATATATTTATACATATATATATATATATATATATATATATATATATATATATATATATATATATATATATATATATATATAATATATATATATATATAAATAAATATATATATATATATATATATATATATATATATATATATATATATATTATATATATATATATATATATATATATATATATATATTAATTTAGAAAGGACCACTTTGTGAAACAAACACTCCGTGTGGCAAACAATATTGCAGAGATGTTTGCCACATAATAAATCTAGATTTACAGCACACGTATAATTGTATTGGTAAGTTTTAAATTTAAATGTAGTTTTTAAAAAAAAAAAATTTATTCTTTTGATTTTAATGTTGAACTAATGTTAAACTCTATGTTGTGGAACTCATTAGGTACAAACCAAATATATAGAGTCTGAAAAATTGTTAAAGCTACAATTGGTATTATTTAAAATATTTTTTGAAGTTTTAGAATACAAAATAACACCGGGCAACAAATTTTAAAACTTTCATTAACTACAATTTTTTTTAAAGTCTCAACCTTTTAAAACTTTAAACTTTTATCTTACCAAATTTTCTAAGTTGTTTAACTATCTACATTATAATGAATACATTTTAGTTAATAAAATGGTATAAAAGTTACTTGAAAAATAGAAAACAATTTGTTTTCTATGGAGATTATTTTCAAAATTAAAAACTAATTGATATAAAATGTGGTGTTCCACCGGGTTCTATTTTAGGCCTACTTTTGTTTTTAGTTTATATAAATGATTTAAATAAAGCTTCTAACCTTATGAGTATCATTTTTGCGGACGATACTAATTTATTTTTGTCAAATAGCGACATTTACGAGCTTTTTTCGAATATGAATAAATTTTTCAGGCAAGATATTCTGAATTTCCTTTTTTTGAAAAAATTGATAAAAAAAGTATCTATTTTGTTTTATTGGTATTTAAACACAATCTTTTTTTTTGAACCAATATGAAATATTTTTAAGTTCGTCTGTCATATGGTCAAAAATTAGTTTAATGTCTTGGTGGGACTGAAATAAACTCGTATCATCAGCAAAATTTATAGTCGTTAAATAAGAAGCTTTGTAAATATCATTAAGTACATTAAAAATAAGAGTGGCCCAATTGTGGATCCTTAGGAAACACCACATTTTATATTCGTTAAAAATTGTGACGAAGATTCCTTGTTATAAACAAATTGTTTACGGTTACTTATATAACTTTTAAACCAGTTTAGAGTTCTATTTTTTATACTATAACTTTTATACTAAAACTTTTCAACTTTTTCAATAAAATATTGTAATTAACCGAGTCAAAAGTTTTTGATTAATCGATAAATATGCCTAAAGTTAATTGAGAATTTTTAAAAGAGTCGGCAATACTGCGCGTTACTTGGAGAAAAGCGTGTTCAGTAGAACTTTTTCTTTGAAAACAAAACTGAGTTTTATATAGAACTTTATTGTTTATAAGATAAGTGTACAACCTGCTATACACTATTTTTTCTAATGTTTAGAAATTATACGTCTACTTTCTTACTAATATTTTATTGGAATGGCAAAAAGTGATGTTTAACACTGCTTCTGATTTAGAGGAAAGCGCTCAAACCACTACGCTAAGGCTTGCTCTAAATGTTACGCAATTACTGAAGTGTCAACAATAATCCCATTAATTTTAAGTATTATCAATACAAATTATTATTAGGTATTATGTTAAATTTTAGGTTCCGCTCAATTTTTTAGGTTCGACCACTCAGCGCGCATAAGGTTTAGCTAAAGTTGTAGGTACATCAAAATTTAAATTTTGTTATGTTATCGTAATGTCTGACTCTTGAACTTTTTCTAAAAGCCTAATGACAGTATTAATGTATAAGTACAATCTAGCAAATCATTAATTTTTTGGCTCGTTTAAATATGATGCCAATGGCATCATATTTAAACGAGCCAAAAAATTAATGATTTGCTAGATTGTACTTATACATTAATACTGTCATTAGGCTTTTAGAAAAAGTTCAAGAGTCAGACATTACGATAACATAACAAAATTTAATCACCAACAATAGTATCTGAAGAAATAATATTGTCACAAAATTGACTGTCAATCATTGAGCATGTTTTATAAAACCAAAAATAAACAATTAAATTTAAAAGTAAAGCAAAGAAACATTGCTTTTAAATTTAAATTCCAAAAAGTCAGCAAATATAAAGAAATCCAAATAAAAAATTATACTAAAATATTTGTTATTAGTTTTGGAAAGTAATAAAAAAAAAACTAAATTAATTTAAAAATGACCGCAAATATATTTGCAAAGAATAAGAATAGGGGAAAAAGAGCAGCGTATTACTGTTTCACATTCTGCTATTTACTGTTAACAAATATGTTTCATATAGAAATGTACACATATTTGAATAAATAATAACAAAAATATCCGAATTTAAATACCATATAGAATCAAAACATATTTTGAGCAAATTAATCACCTTTTTCACCAGTTTTTAAAAGTAAAAATGTTTATATATATATATATATATATATATATATATGCATATATATATATATATATATATATATATATATATATATATATATATATATATATATATATATATATATATATATATATATATATATATATATATATATATATATATATATTATATATATATATATATATATATATATATATATATATATATATATATATATATATATATATATATATATATATATATATATATATATATATATATATATATATATATATATATATATATATATATGTATATATATATATATAGAGAGAGAGAGAGAGAAAGAGATATATATATATATATATATATATATATATATATATATATATATATATATATATATATATATATATATATATATATATATATATATATATATATATATACATATATATATATATATATATATATATATACATACATATATATATATATATATATATATATATATATATATATATATATATATATATATACTATATATATATATATATATATATATATATATATATATATATATATATATATATATATATATATATATATATATTATATATATATATATATATATATATATATTATATATATATATATATATATATATATATATATATATATATATATTATATATATTATATATATATATATATATATATATATATATATATATATATATATATATATATATATATATATATATATATATATATATATATATATATATATATATATATATGTATATATATAGTATCGGACAAAACAAGCGCAACCTAATAATGCTAATTTAGTTTCTTTATATAAAAGTTCTGCATTTTTTCAATTCAGATAAATAACTATGTAACTGTTAAGAGACAACGTTCTTCAAGTTATATTCACCAAAAAGTTAATAAAACGTATTAAATAAAGTTGATTTCCCTCTGGACAAAACAAATGCAACTCCACAAAATGTTGACCAAGCTGTAATTCGCTATCAATATTTCGTGGCAAATCCTTTGTTGTTGAAATTGAGGCGGTCAATCCATCACCAATAGGTGGTTGTCTTGAAACGACTGCTTGACTACTTTTGCAGTGTGTTTCGAATCGTTGTCTTGGTGAAAAACTCATTTTGTTGGCATATTCCATTCAGCATGACGTATTATCACATCTTTCAGGATATTTTCATACATGAAACGGTCCATTATTCCATCAATTCGATGTATTTAACCTAGACGGTTAGCAGAAAAACACCTCCAGACCATTACATTGCCTCAACCATGCTTCACGGTCTTATGGCAGTAACGTAAATCGAGGCGTTTTCCGGACGGTCGACGTACGCGGCAAATGCCATCGCTCCTAATGATGTTGAACTTCGATTCATCACTGAACAGGACAGTTCGCCATTTCTGCACATTTCAGTCAATATGAGATGTAGCAAACAGGAGTCTTTTCTTCTGGTTCTTTTGTGAAACCAGCGGTATCTTTGCAGGGCGTAGAGAAAACAATCCGGCTTCAACAGCACGTCGTCCGATAGCTTGTCCGATACAGGCAGCTCTAATTGGTTTTATATTTCGACTGATGATAACCAGGGATCCTTCTTGAAGTATCTGACAATCATAGAATCCTCGCTAGAAATGATGGAACGCGGTCTTCCACCTTTGTTACTTGCTGCCAACTTTCCTGAAGAATGATATTTGGAACATAGTCTTGATACGGTCCATTTTTTCACGCAATATATATCACAACTTTTTTGTGACATTTTACTTACGCAAGAGCCGCTAATTTTCTTTCTCAAGTCGTAAAAATAATAAAAATACATAATCACGCTTCTTAAGGTTCACCGTGTAACATTTACCTTGTGATGATACAATAATGCTCTGTGGAACACAACGTTTTGGTTGGATGTGGACTGTATTGATGTAATAAAACACTTGTTGTATTTCACTTTTTGTCTTGATGTTCTTGATAAAACTCACTTTGATAAACTGTCTTGATAATACTGACTGATTAACTTCCATATACTGACTGAATTACATGTCGATTTACATTTCTCTTATATAGTAAAATGAAACTGTGTGAACCTGTTCTGGAAGATTCTAGATGCTTCTTTTCGATGCTTCTGGTGGCTTCTGGATCCATCTGAATGGTTCTGATTGTTTCTGAATACTTCTGGATGCTTCTGGATGCTTCCAGATGCTTATTCTGGAAACTTCTGGAAGCTTCTGCATTCTTCTGGATACTTCTGGATACTTCCTTTAACTATTAAAAAGCCTCCGTGACGTTGACACGGACCAAACTTAAGAAAATGAAACAAACCAAAAAAGTTGCACTTGTTTTGTCTGCTGCAAAATGGCACTTGTCAACAAAATTCTGCCTGTGTGCTGTCATCTGTCAGCTGATTGCTTATGTCATGGCATGCTATGACTTCAGACTCCTCAACTGTTTGCTGTGGTAGTATAGTTCGTCTCGTTTTTAAGACGTAAAATTAAGAACACTTTTTGGCATTGTAAACTTAGGAACACTTTTTGGCATTGTTTGATGTTGGTTGCAAATTTTTTGTCCAATACTATATATATATATATATATATATATATATATATATATATATATATATATATATATATATATATATATATATATATATATATATATATATATATATATATATATATATATATATATATATATATATATATATATATATATATATATATATATATATATTTTATATATATATATATATATATATATATATATATATATATATATATATATATA